AATCAGGCCTTCGTCCTGCAGTTGGTGACGTAAAAGGGCTGATGATGATGATCATGATGATAATGAAGGCCGTTCAAATCTGACGAAATCTCAGTTAAGCACCTCTCGAAAATATGTGTTAGTAGACGATTTCCTTCAAGTGTGGATAGTCGAAATTAAAACATGTGTTTTTTTTTTATTTCAATAAATAAAACTACGTGTGTGTACCGACCGCCTTTCTTGACAAAGAAAGAGATCGGACGAAAAGCGCTCGGTCTCGGGAGACACCTGAAAATCGCGAAGCGTATTTTACTGCACATTGCGGGCCTCATGCACTATAAAGTTGAACCTGAAGCTTTTACCGTCAGGGACAATCTCTTGAGCTCTCGGAGAACTCATACAACAAGCTTTTGATCTCAGGAAACTTCTGAAGATTGCATAGCGCGTGTAACTGCTGATCGTAACATAAATGCAGTACGGTATGAGTATGAAACATCCTTTATTTCAACATAGAGAAATGCGCTTGGTCTCTGAAAGAGCTCGCAGTTTGCACAATAGAGATCGAAAAAGTAGTTACGATTATCACCTTGCTCGTTAACTTCCTCGAACGGGAGGGGCTCTTCCTTATGAACTCGTTCTTTAGGAAACAGCCCCAAAGGAAGTGGACGTGGCAAAGCCCCGACAATGTGACAAAAAATGAGATCGACTTCATTATAGCGGACAAAAAACACGTATTCAGAGATGTCTCCGTGATCAATAGGTTTAATACCGGCAGCGATCACCGACTTGTCCGAGGCTCTCTGAATATCGACTTCAAAGCTGAACGTGTCCGCTTGATGAAGGCCAGGCTCCGACCTACTCCACTCCAAACCATGATGGAATCTGAAACGTTCAAGTCAAATCTTGAGAACCGATTCGCTGCCATGGAACCCACAATTGACGTTGACGAGAACCTTGAAAATGTGGTTCGAATACTCAGGGAAGAAGGTACGAAATTTTGCAACATGCAGCGTAAGGGCGGGAAGTCTAAGCTCTCGGATAGAACTTTGGGGCTTATGAAGGAACGACGTGAAAACCCACCTGTCACTTCGTCAGGAAAACGTGCTCAAAACCAGGAGATCAGCAAACGCGTACGATATGACCTCCGGTGCTCCAACACTCACGCTATAGAAAGAGCGATCGAGCAAAACAGGGGGTCAAAAGTATTCGTACAATCTCTTGGAAGAAGCCACTTGACGAAGTTGACCACAGCAAGCGGGGAAGTCGTTGCTTCGAAGCCAGCGGTCCTCTCAGAGGTGGAAAATTTCTATGCCCGGTCATACGCTTCGCATGCACCTCGACCTGATCCCGGAAATGAGGATTCTAGAGCCACATTAACACGCCACTACACCGAAGATCTGCCAGAAGTCAGCATTGGCGAAATCGAGATCGCTCTGAAACAGCTTAAAAATGGAAAAGCCCCTGGAGAGGATGGCATTACAACCGAATTATTAAAAGCAGGAGGTAAACCAGTACTGAAGGAGCTCCAAAAGCTTTTTAATGCAGTCCTCTTCGAAGGGAGAACTCCGCAGGCGTGGAGTAGGAGTGTAGTCGTCCTGTTCTTCAAAAAGGGAGACAAAACCCTGCTGAAGAACTATCGACCCATTTCCCTTCTAAGCCACGTCTATAAGCTGTTTTCTAGAGTAGTCACGAACCGTCTTGCGCAAAGACTTGACGAATTCCAACCACCGGAGCAGGCTGGGTTTCGGAGTGGATACGGCACCATAGACCACATCCACACAGTGCGGCAGATTATACAGAAGACTGAAGAGTATAATCAGCCCCTGTGTCTAGCATTTGTGGACTATGAGAAGGCCTTTGACTCGATTGAGATCTGGTCCGTTCTGGAGTCCCTGCAGCGATGCCAAGTCGATTGGCGATACATCCAAGTGATAAGATGTATTTATGAGGCCGCCACCATGACCGTCCAAGTACAGAATCAGCAGACAAGTCCTATACCGTTGCATCGAGGAGTGAGACAAGGAGACGTTATGTCTCCGAAATTGTTTACTAATGCAATGGAGGATATGTTTAAGACGCTGAACTGGAAAGGACGTGGCATCAACATCAATGGCGAGTACATCTCTCACTTGAGATTTGCTGACGACATCGTCATCATGGCAGAAAATCTGCAGGACCTACAACAGATGCTGAATGACCTGGCTGACTCTTCTATGCGCATCGGCCTACGGATGAACTTGGATAAAACCAAGGTCATGTTCAACGAACACGTACTACCGGAACCGATTGCAGTATGCGGTGCCGTTCTCGAAATTGTTCCAAAATATGTATACCTCGGGCAAACATTGCAGTTAGGTAGAAACAACTTCGAGAGCGAGGTAAATGGAAGAGTTCGGCTAGGTTGGGCAGCGTTTGGGAAACTACGTCAGGTCTTCACATCGTCGATCCCGCAGTGCCTAAAGACGAAAGTCTTTAATCAGTGCGTCCTACCCGTTATGACATACGGAGCCGAAACGTGGACACTGACGGCACGGCTGGTCCACAAGTTGAAGGTCGCTCAGCGGGCTATGGAAAGGGCTATGCTCGGCGTTTCTCTGCGGGATCGAATCAAAAATGAGGTGATCCGGCAGAGAACCAAGGTTATCGACATAGCCCACCGGATTAGCAAGCTGAAGTGGCAGTGGGCTGGCCATATTAGCCGCAGAACCGATAACCGTTGGGGTAAACGAGTTCTTGAGTGGAGACCGCGTCTCGGCAAACGTAGTGTAGGACGTCCTCAGGCGCGGTGGAGCGATGATTTGCGCAAGATGGCTGGCAGGAGCTGGATGCGAACAGCCGAAAATCGAAGTAGATGGCGTGCAATTGGGGAGGCCTATGTCCAGCAGTGGACGAATATGGGCTGATGATGATGATGATGATGATGATTATCACCAACCTGTGTTGCATTCATACTCCTCAGGCGTACCGCAGATAAGTTTTGACAGGGTATAATGAACAAGCTGTTTTCCCGCGACTGTGCCGCGTCTGATGTAGCTTCCCGTAGGTTGGAATCGCTCTGAAACTATCGGTAAAGAGGGTTTTGGAGCACATTCGATGCAAACAAATAAACAACTAAATCTTTCCTGTTTATAATATTAGTATAGCTTATAATATAATATTAGTTATAATATTAGTATAGGTATAAGAGGTCCGATGGCGTAGTGGGTTAGCGCATTCGGTTTAAATTGCAGTTAAATAAGTAAGTAAATACTACACAACAAGGACATACATGAATACTTTTTATACATAACTAAGTACAAACGACAAACTCATCCAGGCAACCTAGCATTACATGGAAAATAGAACAATAAATAGCCGATTGTGCATACAACTAGACAAATATGATTATTTAAAAAGATCAAAAACAAAATAAGGACAGCTAAAAGGTACGAATAAAATGCTCAGACACAAGCGACAACCAGAGCGCGAGAAACGAGAAAAAAGATAGAAAAATAAAATTCGTGAGGACCGTTCACAGGATGGGTGACCAAAACATTATTATCTTGAGCACTGTGCACAACACTGGCACAATGCACGTTAAGCCGTTATTCCTGGCTGCATCAGCAACGTTAACACCCACCGATCCGCATTAAGCCCGCATAGTGGGTTATGGCCTATTGACCTTATTCGATTTGACTTCATTCATAGGAAAAAAATAATTCTACCAAAATACATCCCACGCAGACGAAGTCGCGGGCACAGCTAGTATTATATATGTATATGCAATTAATATTAGCGACAACAATTGTATCTATTTAAGTGATTATAAAATGTAATCTTGCGTAAATAGTTTACATAATTAAATAACTGTTTGGATAAGGACTCATATCGTAATACGGAATATAATTACAATGCACGTGAATTAAAAAGCGAACAATGGTTACTATGGTAACGCCTAAATGCCCTATACAAACTTTTTCTCCCATTTTCATCCCTGTCAGTGCTATTTTCGAGATTAAATATATGTAAGTTAGACAAATGCTGCCGCAGACTATTTTTTAGAACTTTGAAGGGATCAATTTCAAAATAAACGATTTTTGCTTAATTTTCACCGTTTACACATAAATAAAATTATTTCCCTGTTTTTGCAACATTTTTGAACACATCAATAAATATTCAATTCCTGAGATTAGTGCGTTTAACCAAACAAATCCATAAAGTTATCGAGCATGTGATTTCTATGGTCGTAAAAAAACTAAACCTTCTTAAATTTAGAATTTGCGGCTTAAATTTTTAATATTTAAGGTAGGCTGTTTAGTATTGAATATATAGACTAGAAGAGAATTGTATACATTACCTAGGGAAAATATGCAATCAATTATACAATTTTAATACATGAATTATACAGATTGCCGGTAAGATATAGAAGTATTCAGTTTATAATGTCTCATTCTGAGGTTTTCTTTACATTTGAAATGTAGAGCTAACTTTCTAATATATCTGCAGATAATATTCTATCTCACACTTTAGTTCAATAAGTTCGATTGTGATACAGTTTTTTCTAATTTAATAACAGTAATTCAATATGAATGTTTTACATTTCTTTTGTCTATCAATTTGATATTAGTAATTTTGATTACCCGTCCTCTTTAATGTCTTCTTAGATATAAGCCTATTCAGCGTTTATTTGTCCTCGACTATGTTCATTCATGTCTTCATCTATCCGCATCGTTGGCATTTCAAAATTCACTCCTTTTTACCGCTAAATCAACACAAAGTCCATCCATAAACTCAACGGTCTTCCTAATCAAACACACACATTATTATTACATATATACGTACGTATGGATATGAATCTTATTTAAATAAATGTTTTCATTAATTTTGATTTATCGTCACTTTATCTGTTAAGTTAGATTATGTGTGAGAATTACGAGCTATTAGCAATTAATTAATTTCTCAAAAAATGACTAATCTCTCTTTTAATTATCAATCAGATAATTCAATTAAATGTTTAAAAGTATATATGTAGGTTTTCGTTACTTCGGAGGAACGGTTGAGGCAGTATCCAGTTTGAGCGGCTGTATAAAACTACCGCATAAAAATAATTTACAAAAAAAAATGACTGTGTCTATTGGAAAAGAGAGTATGCAAGACGCGGAGGGAATGGAGAATAAAGCTGGCGAGAAGCACATAGACCTGGATTATGTGCTCGTACACGAGCTGGGCCAATTTGGCCGGTTCCAGCTGATCAACACACTACTGGTGTCAATTCCAATTATCATGTCGGCGTTTATGAGTGAATTCATCTTTGGCGCTGCTGCTATACCTCACAGGTACGTGCATATTATTAAATAAATCATATAATTTATTGATGTAGGTTTACAATAAGACAATTCTAAACAATTAACTATTCGGATAAAATACGATAAAATGCATATTCTTTATTTTTATTCCTCCACTCTAAGTTCGAATAATATCTGAAAGAGTTCTTTCCTTATTTACAAACTTTGAATTACTTGTGTAGGTATATGAATTTGTTTGATATTGTATAATCAAAAGTGTTAAACGCCTATGGTTTTACTATTCCTATTAATATGAATATTTCTTTTTTATAAAGAGGGTCGTAAAGAAATTGACCCTATGAGTGTGATTACGATTATTGTAGAAGTGCTATATTGAGCCCTCAGTTATAAAGTTCTCTATAAATATAAATAATATATAAATATAAAACAACATCACACACATTGCTCAGATTCCAAGATGTGTAGCTATAGCACCCGTATTATGGAGTATCTGAGACAACGAAGGTAACACAACACCCAGACCTGAGACAATATAGAAAAGTTCATTTTCAACATTGACCCGACCGGGAATCGAACCCGGGACCTCAGAGATGGCGACACCTTGAAACCGGCGTGCGATCCACTCGGCTATGGAGGTCGTCTACTCTATGGAGGTCGTAATAAAGATAACTTTGTTATTTTTTGAAGTTTTGTCTGTGATACTCCTCTTAAAAATATGATCTAGTTTTCCCATTATTAACTATAGCTTATTCGGACTATAACGTCTTTGTAAAAATCGATTGAAATTAAGTGATTTTTTGGTGTATTGTCTTTTTTGGCGCCCTCTTCATTTTATATATTTTTGTAATCCATATATAATATAAAAATAATACTTAAATATCCGTAAGTACACCTCCATGAAATTGAAAATTATATTTTACAGATGCCGTATCCCTGAGTGTGGGGAGGATAGCAAGACGAATGGTTTCCGACCTGATTGGATCTTTAATGCCATTCCTCAAGTGGGTACGAACAACTTTGCCAGTTGCGAGCGGTTCGCATCTGTAGGCAACGGCACATTGGACATGTGCCCGATTGACCTATTCGACAGGGACGTAACGACTGGCTGTGAAGCATTTGTGTACGACAGGACTGACTCCGTAGTGTATGATGTAAGTTTTAGTGAAAACTAGCTATTATCTCAGTATCATCAGCTTATAATGTTCCCATTGCTGACATGGGCGTCTCCAATGGACAGAATTACATAGGAAATAACACGGATTGGTAGGTACTACAGATGCAACCAAAAATTTAAAGTGCGTTCTAAAATATAGAGGAGCTTAAAAAAAATGTCCTCCCATCTGAAATGAGGTCTTTGAGAAAGTTACTTGACTTCTATAATCGTAGACTGAACGTACGTATTTAGTTCCACATATTTCGTTGCACATGTTTTGCATTTATAACGCAATATTATTAATAGTACAATGAACCAAAGATATGGTTTTTAAATTAAACAAGAGAAAAGTTAATTTTCTTTTATATAAAAATATTATAGCAAAATACCAAAGCTAGCTTGCCGGTACCATCTATTCTATTCGTTTTCAAAATGACGTATATAAGACATTCTTACTATATTCTGTATTAAATTGAAATCAACGGATTTTTTATTACTTCCTATTCGATTTTTAGTTTGATTTGGGCTGTCAAGAGTGGATGAGAGCGTTGGCCGGTACATTGAACGCCGTTGGGACATTACTAGTATTGCCCATCACTGGATACATATCAGACCGGTTCGGAAGACGAGTGGCCCTCATCATCAACGTATTCAATTTGGCTTTATTCGGTATCATCAGAGCCTTCTCCGTCAACTATCCTATGTATTTGGCACTGCAGATCATACAAACTACCCTGGGTGCTGGAACTTTCAGTTCTGCATATATTTTTGGTAATTTTCTTATTAAATTCCTTTTAAACACGTGTAATTGGTGTTACCAAAAGTAAAAGTAATATTATAACATATTTCCTTTTAGCTGCGGAGTTGGTAGGACCCAAGTACCGTGTTTTAGCGAGTGCAACATCAACGTCGATGTTTGCTCTCGGCCAAGTAGTCTTAGGTGGAACAGCATGGTTGATACCATCATGGCGTTATCTCCTCCTAGCGCTTAACATTCCGTGTTTTCTAATCATCTCCTATTACTGGATCCTTTCGGAGAGTGTGAGATGGCTGCTGTCTAAGGAAAAATTTGAGGAGGCGAAAATAGTGTTAGAGAAAGTGGCAAGAGTAAACAGAAAAGTGATTAGTGAAAAATCAATGCAAGCTTTATTAACCCCAGCTCCACCGCCACCTGAATCTTCATTGGAGGTGAAAACTGAATTTATCTGATAACATTATAGTTTTATATTTGTGTATTTAAAATACTGGTGAATATTGTCTCAATCGCGATTGCGATGACGTAACAATCGATTTCGGAACAATCAGCGATTTTATACATTTTTCTTAAAACAAAGCAAAAATAACGTAACTAATATATGTATTATATGCTTGAAAATTTCCAGAATAAAGACTCGTTAGTAAAAGCAATATTTAAGTCGCCCATTCTATTACGACGAGTGTGCACGACTCCGATATGGTGGATTACTACGATCCTGGTGTACTACGGACTCTCCATCAACTCTACCGAGCTATCAGAGCAAAGGCATCTTAACTATATCCTAACAGTAGCTATAGAAATCCCCGGCTTCTACAGTGCTGTACTCATTCTTGATAGGATTGGAAGAAGAATTACTTTATGTGGCGGGTACTTTTTGAGTGCAGCGTGCAATATTGCTTTCGCCTTTATTCCACAACGTAAGTAGAACAATTCTAAATAAAATAACAAATAAATAATTATATCAATATAATATTTAATTATTTTTTTCTAATTACCTTTTTGTAACAATACATTTATTGAACTCCAGATAAGAGTACAATTTTGCTTCAAAAATCTCATTATGTAAATTTCACAACAACGCCCAAAATTTTAAAACAGAATTATCTTAGTTTGGATTATAAATATCAACACCCAATCTTACCAATTTAGCGGTTTCCATGGGTAATTAGATATTTCTCAAGAGTATTCTTTCTGTAAGGACGAGATGTCATTATTTGCTATGTTGATTTGCAGATCTAGCAGTGCTTAGACTGGTAATCTTCCTTCTCGGCAAGTTCGGAATCTCAGTGGTGATGACTTCTATGTACTTGTACACATCAGAGCTGTACCCGACGCAGTACCGGCACAGTCTGCTCGGCTTCTCCTCCATGATTGGCAGAATTGGTTCCATTACCGCTCCTCTCACTCCAGTACTTGTAAGTTGCACAAAGTTTTTTGTTTCTTACAGAGTAAGTCCATAGACATCTAACACGATACAAACGGAAGGTAAATTAATTTTTCGCGTAGAAAATAAACACAAATGCGAAGTTTATTACATCTGAGCCGGATCTAGGTATGAGTCTAAGTCTAAGTATGTTATTATACACGATACAAAAGGAAGGTAAGTTAATTTTTCGCGTAGAAAAACACAAATGCGAAGTTTATTACTTCTGAGCCGGATTTAGTTATTAGTCTAAGTCTAATTACGTTATTATAAATGTAAAAGAGTAATATTTTACATTTGTGTGACAGAGAAGTGCTAGTTAAAGAGCATTTTATAACTACTACCAAACGAGACTATAATATAGTATAGTCTGGATATTTATTTTTCCTATGAATAAAATTTATTTAAACTTAAGTCTATTTTCTTAATTATCATTATTTTTAGTTATCGATACAAACATAGCAAGTGTAGCTATCTCGTTAATCTCAAGTTTGATTATCAATGACCATTTTTTGAAAGTGCCTTCAGTTTTGAATGTTAAAGTATTTTCCTTTATCCGATTTTCCAGAACACTCTCTTTGTTTTGTTTACTATAGTACCAGGTCAATGTCGTCCACGCTTTGCTTTATCTTTATATTATCATAATAGATTGAAGCTTATTTGGAAGGATCAGTTATTCACTAATTATTGATGATCGAAGTTTTATCACAATGGATGCCTTATAAGAATCTTTGACGAAAATAATTTTAATCCTTTATCGTTGTCATTTAGACTGATTAAATGGTTATTAATTTTTACAAGGATTAGTGTTCAATCACATTTTGCTTATTAGTAATTTTAAAGTTTTAGTATATTTTTTTTTATAAAATTATCAAATTCTGGGCGATGGGATCAAACCAATTTTCATGTTCAAATATTCATGGAAATATTTTATTTTATTTGTATTTATTTACGAATTAATTTCAGAGTGCTAGGGACAAAGTGGTTTTTTAAGCATCTTTCATTAAGAATAACAATTGCAATTCTTAAATTTTTTTTTACATATTAAAAAAAACATTATCTTTGGTGACTGTCTGATGTGATGAACCTAATGAACATCTACTTATGTTGCCATGGAGTGTATTCTTATCGAGTTTAAATCAAAGTCATATGATATCAAATCTATTGGATTCTGGGTAGCTTAGTGCTCAGAGCGGTCGCCCGGATTGCTGGAGGTCGTGGGTTCGAGTCCCATCTCAGAGTACCTGGTGCTGGTGGGCTTTTAAGCATTTTTCATTAAGAATATTTTTAATTATACCATTGTGAATGCAACATTGATCAAATATAATATTTCAACACCAGTACTGTTATTGTACATTATTTTTTAATCATCTTCAGGCGGACTATTGGCATGGCATACCTTCTATGATGTTCGGCACACTGGGCTTTATCTCAGCAGTGCTTGTACTGACGCAGCCAGAGACCCTCGGCACCAAGATGCCTGACACTCTCGCGGAGGCCGAAGCAATTGGTAGAAAGAAATAATCAACAGAAAAAGATAATCAACAGAAAGAAGAAAAATATGTAAATAATTTAAGTACATAGTACTTCTGGAAAGCAAGACACAACGATAATATTTTACTTGTTATTCTATTCACAAAGGCAATGTTTTCTACTATTATTGACTGACTTCAAAAAGGGGGAGGTTTTCAAGTCGAGGGTTATTTGTGTGTAAATAAACCTGTATATTGTCCAGGGGTCGGTCATATTAGCATTACCTCGAAATTGATTTAGTTGTTTTTTATATTTTATTTGAATACAAGATAATTTAATATTTCAATTATCACTAAACATCAATGAATAGTAATTCTTTAAAACTGCAAAGACGTTCACCACCAGCCCTTCTACGTCCCCACTGCAGGGGCTCAGGCCTTCCTTATGGATGGTTAAGGAGGATGGGCCATGACCCTCCACGCTGGCCCAATGCGGATTGGAGGGTATTAACGACTGCAAATGCAGCCGGGACCAACGGCTTAACGTGCCTTCCGAAGCACGGAGTAGCTCGAGATAATAATTTTTGGTCACCCATTCCATGACCGACCCTTGCGAAAGTTGCTTAACGACTACGATCGCGGGCCGCGGCGCTTATCCACTACGCCACCGAGCTACTCGTGCAAAGATTCGTGCAAAGACGTTAAGAATGTTTATTTAACAGAATTACTACTCGTTGATGTCCAGTGACCTAGGCAACTTTGAACTCTGCCTTTTTTGGAGTCAGAAGCACGGCCATAAAAGCCTCTCTCGAATTCAGATGAAGCTTATTGAATTTTTAAACCACCTTACTTATTACACACGTCCATACCGCTTACACGCGTAAGCGAAAGCCGACTTTTGAAATTATATTATTTGTAATAAGATTTTTGTAATATTAAGCTTCTATTAAGCGCATTAATTAAATTGTTTTAAGATTTTTTAAAATTGAAAATATTTATTATAAATGTTAATTAATCTCAAACAAAATATATCCTTATACTAAAAATTATAGTTATTAATAAGATATTAATCAATTTGTAATTTACTGTAACTATAGATATATAGATAGATATATTTTTTATAGAATTATAGATAGATATATTTATAGATGTTAATGTAGTCAAAATAAGATTATCATACAAATGAGTCACTAATAAAAAAGAGTTAATGTTACAAGTACAGTTTTATTTATAAAATTATCACAAGTAGCCATTCATACCATCAAAGATGCGTCTATAAAATCATAATCACTTAATTTATTCATAAACATATGAAACAGTATAATTATAACATAATTTACGCTGTCTTGAAAGATACCTCTAGCTCGGTAAAAGCAGATCAACTGATTTACACTTAGGATATTAACTTTTAATTAAATTACAGAAATATTTACAAGAAATACTGGATCTGTCTACTTATAAGCACATCATTATTTATATGTATATTAGTTATCTAAAATAACCTACTTATCTTTAATTTACAAAATTCTTCAACACATGAATAACACGTTAATAAAATATAACAGCATATGATATACTTCATTGATATTTACATGTCAACGAATGAAAGTATATCAATTATATTAAAAAAATATATAAATGTTTCCATCAATCAAATATATATCCATTTAAATTAAGGGATCTTTATTTAAATGACATACTTATACAAGTAAAGTATATACAATTTTAAATTATGAAAATCTTTATTAAAATACGATATCACAAAAATCGTTTTATATTACAGAGATTTCAAACTAAATTTTGAAGTTGCTGATTTCCTAATATTATAAACAGAGGATTTCTAAACGAAACCACTCTTAATATTTTTTTAAGAGTTTAGTTTAACGTTATTATTAATAAAATGCAAGGAGTCACAATATAATGTCGCAGCCAATTGTTTAAAGCCGCCGTTCAATTGACTGGCGACTGGGCCTTAAATTGAATGTACAGTCAATTGTACGGCTAGACGTTAGTCAGCTGAGTAACAGAACACAGCGTACAAAGCCCAGCTAACTGGTTAAATGTAATATCATAATAACCGTGATATCTGAATACAATTATTTACATTGATGTTCGATCACCTAATCTCTTAAAAACTTTGAAAACTGTAATGTAATCAACGCGCGTGTCGAAATCAAATATAATTAGACTTCTGCAAATTATTATACAATAAGATTATCCCTGATATTTTAGTTGTTTACATAATGGAAATCACAGCTGTCAGGATTAAAAATAAATTAAGCGAAGTCTGTACTGACAGAATTGCTACCATGTCTGTTTAAATTATTTTCAAAGTAATAGGTACTCAAATTGTCTTGTCGATTATTATATACGTTGAGTCATCAATGCTCGGTGAAAAATAATATTTTTATCAATATTGATTGAGTAAAAACAACCCTTAGAATATATAGGAAATAATAGAAACTGTTATATTACAATTGTTCTTATAGCTCTATATTGTACATGATCACATTAATAGAAATAACACTCAATACACAATTTGTAAAACTACGATATTCCACAATCTTTAGAAACATTTAAGATTTCCAAGACCGATCACCGCCCGCAAATATGTAAATAAATATAAGTGCACAAGTGGTATAAGTGCACAACACATGAGGGACGAAACAAATATAGAGTACGTCACCATCATAGTTTTACAGTTATTCCTGATTTTATTAAATAACTAGCTGACCCGACAGACTTCGTCCTGTCAAAAAGATTTGTAATGTGGCAGTTTTTTTGCCTACGTATTTAAAAAAATTCTCCTGAACAGAACCGTCACCCTGGTGATAGGGCGTTGTGAATAAAAAATAATTAAATAAAACATATATAAGGATTTAAAAGTAAGTAATCGCTTTATTGTTAATCATGTGAATCATAATTATTATTGCAATGTATTAATAGTAATAGTATTAAATATAGAAAAAAGAGATTTTTATGATCATAAAAACACATTACACACAACAGCATTATAAAAGTAAACTATTCGAATTAAAAAAATATATAAACATTCTCAAGGAAAAATGCTGGAAGAATCCATCTACCTGTACCCCGGAATGGGACTCGAACCCATTCGCGATCCAGGGACTGCTCTAACCAATGAGCTATCTAGGACCCAACAGCTTTGCTACTACAGAGCATATTTTCATCAATGTTCCGGCAATCCATGTAATGACGTGGAAACTGATGCATTTTTTAACAAAAGAAACGCGAGTTTCGGAACGCGACATTAAACTCCTCCAACTATGTATTCTGTGCTCCAACGCACACACGCACATTGTTTTGTGATAGATATGATCTTTGACGTTAGGAACACACCTACATTGCTTAGACAACAGTGAGTGCTTGTAATTTAATATGAACTTTATACCATAGCAATAAAGCTCAAATTGACTACGTTTTAGTTACAAATCATTTGTATGGGAAAAAGAAAAGGGCTATTTTTAGGGGTTTTCCAGCAATAATTCTAATTTTTCTCGCCGTAAAAACCATCCTTGAACTTCAACGAACATTTTAAAAAAAGATTTGGCCAAATTGGTCGAGGCGTTGTTGAGTTATGCGCTTACCAACACATTTTGCGATTCATTTTTATATATATAGATTACACATAAAAATAGAGGTAAAGATTTTAAAATCGTTTATCTTTATAATATTTGATAAAGTTTTTGCAAATAAGGTAGTTTCGGTAATGAAAAATAGATCGCGGAATTGCACAAAAATTAAAATGTATATTGTAATAAACATAGAGATTCTGATTTTGAGTCTAATAATCGCACTATTATGTTATTTTCTTAAAATTAAAAGTCGTGATTTTTTTAAAACACGATCGGCCACATTGTGACGTCACTGTGGCGACAGTCGTCAGATCAGTCATAAAGATATGTCTATTAATTACAAATCAAATTCCTAGATGGAGCTGTTTTTAACTTATTTATATCATATTATTCCGTAATCGATTGTTAGATAACACTATTCTTGTTTTTTATTTGTCTTATTGATATTTTTAAAATTTTCTACTTTGTGCATCATCTACGACAGCATTTTCGGGGGTATAAAAAATATTCAGTTTTGATTTAATTTTAAAGCAAGAAAAAGTGTTTATTCATCCGAAGTATTTGTTTAATCTTTTTTTTTTACAATTATAATAAATACTTAAAATTATTATTTCAAACAGAGTCGAAAGCCCAAATATCTTGAAGATAACAAATTTAACGTTAAATCGCCTTTCAGTAGTCATATAAAAGTCGTTAATATAAATAAATGGTTGTATAAAATTATCTACAATTTTATCAAAATTTCGTGCAATTTAACCATAAATATATATTACCACTCATCTATTTCTATATACATATATAAAATTCTTGCGTACTGAGTGACTGACTGACAGACATTGTACAGCCGAAACTATTGTTCGTAGATAATTTAAATTTGGAATGAAGATTCCTTAGGGAGTGCAGAGGAGCACTAAGGGAGGATTTTTGAAAATTCCATCCTAAAGGGGCTAAATAGGAGATGAAAGCTTGTATGATAATTCGTTGCTACAAGGGCTAGGAGTTTCAAATTCTACATGCGGGTTCCTTTTAGGACGTGGTTTACGAAATTTGACCCCTAAGAGGGTAATTAGGGGATAAAAGTTTCTATAGAATTTTCTCATTTCTGGACTTAAAACTACAACACGCGGGCGAAGTGACGGGCAAAAGCTAGTTTACATATATATGCAGTGCTATCATAAATGGCATCTTGAATTCGGTTTTAGCCTAGCGCCGGTGTTTTATGAAATCAGCGGCTTATCAATTCAGCGTATCTGTATACAAATTAAGTTTTACTGATATTTGAATCGATAACAAATTACAAGGCAATAATATTTTCCGTTTTCAAGATAAGCTAATTTAACATTATCTTAACATTTTCAAAATAATATCTACTAGTACGTATTTATCTGTAAACACATAGCAGCATATCAGCTTTGGTATTCTTTAAAATTTACATAATACCTTAATTTTATCTTGAAGAAGTTTTTATTGGATCGAATCTATAATATTCTGATAGTACTACAGTTTGCCGTAAAAAGGCAAATCTCCGCAAATATTTTTTAATTTAATTGTCATTATCAGATATTAGGATCTGAAAATGATTGAATATTTTTATCAGTTTTATATAAGCTGACATGTTGTTGACTGTACTGTGTGTATAATAATTTTCCGATTACAGACTTATATTAGTTATTGATAAGCTTTAACTTAAATCTCCATAAAACACTTCAAATACACATATTTTTTCCCTCATTACCACAGTTGGAGACAGTTGTAGTCAAATAATTCTTAAACCACTTCGTGGTCTCTCTTCTTAAATTTTTTCATAGCTATTATGTCAATTATATACTCCATGAGAAAATTATTAAAAATATTTATACATAATACATTAACCAAATGGTCTTAGGCGTCAAATATTACGTTAATCATTACACAACGTGTTCTCCACATTTTCTGACCTATGTATTGTTACGCTAATGTAATTTCTTGGCTTTAACTATGGACTCCGTAAGAACATTCCAATACTAGTAGTTCTTCATTATTACCTAGAGATGTTCTAATTTGCTTCGTTAACTGGCCGGCGATCTATCCTCTGCGTCGTCTGCTTTGTGTATTGTATCATTCGTATCACCAATGCGTTCGGCGTCTTGTATATGATCTGGTAGCGAGGAGTGACTGGTATCGGGCAACAATAGAGATAACATTACTGGGCCCAATGCTACCAACCCGAATACTATGCTCGGCAAACCTGCCATATATTTTTCCTGTAGACAAAATAGAACCATCAACATCAGACTGTTACCTAGTATCCACGTTACTGGGATCAACATCGACAGAGGAGCGTGGACTGAATAAATAATCAAAGATAACTAAAGTAACTCAATGAACACATAACAGACAGCAACAGCAACGATAAGTGTTAAAATTCAAAAATTCAAATAAAAAACATAAAAATTACTATATCGAGTCTTCATATCGATCTAAAAGCAAGGTTAGACTGTCATCAACAGATCTAGATCTAGATTTTTTACATGGCGGATTGTCTTCATTTCGAACAGTAGAAGAAATAGCGGGTCGAAGCTGTCATGGTATTCACAAAATCGATCGAGCATGAATAATTTTTATGATACAATAAAAGAAATATATGTAGTATCGTACATGACGTTTGTCATATGGCGATGTCAGAAAAGATTAAACCGGCGTAGTGTTAAGAAAATGTTATAATTAAATAAAAAACTAAATCAGACGCATTGCTTTGATTCTATAATAACTACTTGGCCCTAGCCCTAGCTCTCATGTTATCGAGTATTTAAAAAACGAAGGACATCTCGAATGACAAAGATCCGTCTGGAAACCGAATCGGGATCTCAGAATTGATGATACCTCGAACCGGCGTGCTATTGAATTACATGAATGTTAATCAAAAGAAAGATGTTTATGAGGACCATGTCTGATGATCCCTGCTTGCCCCGTAAGGACGGCGGACCCCGGCGTGAAAATATGTATTAGACAGTTTTTTTTTTGTATCAGCTTGGTTTGAAACACGTAACTTTTCAGTTTTGCAGGTTATCTGATACATACCAGGAGCGGTGTCTGCGGGGCCAGGACGGCCCCCAGCCTCCCTATGGTGTTGGCGGTGTTGGTGAGCGAGTTCCTGGAAGTGGTGGGGAACACCTCCAGCGCCACCACCGTCATGGAGAACATGCCATAGCTGCTGCACATCTTGCCCAACAAATAGAACACGACGGACGCCCACCAAATTGCTGCAACGATTTGATTTTCAATGTAAGGTGGTGAATCTTAAAAGGTTTTTTTTTTAATTCTGAGTAGTAGAAAATCTAATAAATTTTATGAATCCAGTCCTATGTCTCCAGATTGCAACAGCAAACCCACATTATTTAGGCATGTTTTTACAAAATATACGCAATAAATAAATTAGCATTAGGAGTGAACTGCACTAATTTGATGTTTATTTTTAGATTTTTATATATATTTTTTTTTTGAAGAGTCACATGCACACGTTGAAGCTATGGTTGGCAAATAGACCTATAGCGCAATACCAATATTAGTGCATATAAACGACGAACATTAAATTAAAAAATATTAAATGATGTATAAATGAAAAATGACCATGAGAAAAGTTGTTTTTATAAATGATTTAGTGATAAACGAATGCTTATACATATATGAAGCGTTAAATCCAGATATCGTCTGAGATTTCATTAAAATAGATAATGTCAACATAATCCTAATAAATTTGGTAAACTATCACTTTATACATATCCTCAATGCTTCGAATAGAAATTGCTTAGCAACGACATGAGAATCTCTGCACGGGAGAACTCTAAACTACTGAGGTTCAAGCTTTAAGAAAATCTTTAAAACTACAATTTTTCAATTATTTTTTTTTTATTGTAATATGAGAAAGAGAACTGGCATCTCATCAGCACTCATATTATCCAGCCATGTCTCCTTGAAATAAGCAGAGAAAAGTTTTACGTCATTTAGTGTGATCTTTCACTTCCTCTTTTTCCACATATCTGAACAACGAGGCATGACTCTTTCAACTTTTACACCCACATATTTATATATTTTGACATATATCACAATGTGAAGGAATTCTATAATGTAATGTAACACTTACACTTCGGTACATAAGCTGAGGCTATGAAGAATACACAACACAAAATGTAAGCAACACAAATAGGTGCTTTCCTCCCAAACTTGGTGAGAGTGATGGCAGTGATGATTCTCGTAGGGATGGTGACGAGAACAAGCGAGGAGAAGTTCAGATACTTGTTCCCAACGATACTGGTCGAGTTGATCATACAACCGTTGTACACAAAGATACAGCAGAAGAAGATGGCGGCGATCAGGAAAACGCGGAGCAGGATCTTTTTAGAGCGTAAAACGACCAGCAGGCCGATATGTGTCGACTGCGGCACGTTTTGTCCAAGCTGCCAAAAGAAATATAAATAATTAAGAAATCATGTTTTAAGTTAGGCTTGGTATTAGTTATTTTTACTAGATCTATAATAAAATCGTCAGAATTTTGGATCTCAATATTAACCTTCGTAAATTTATTTTGTAATATATCTTTAACAATTCAAAAAACAAATTATTGTAACAGTAATTTTTTGTAATTACTGTTAATCAACACTTACTCGTTCGGTTTTTCTCGCTTCTTCAGTGATATTAGTGAGCATTTCATTAGCTTTCTTTGAAAGTGTGATGTTATTAATTTTTGCAACTTTGTTTAGCACTCTGACAGCTTCATCTTTTTTATTATGAGCCAGCAACCAGCGTACTCCTTCATCGACTAAAAAGATGTAGAAGACTACGACGAGTAATGGAGCATAGATAACCCACATCATATGTCTCCAGTACGGAATCTTCCAAGCTATCAAGCCGAAGAACGCGAATCCGAAATTTGATAGAATGTCAGATACGCAGGAGAATATCACTCGGCGTTTTTGAGTAACCATCTCGAGAGCTGAAATAAATAATTAATATATTATTTTCTGAGTATAAAAGCAGATATTTGTAAAATAGCGGAAGAAAATAAAATGTTAGCTGCTTGTTATGGACAAGTACAAAAAAACGATCGATGAGCAATTCTATTTATTTTAGTTTTGGTTTGAACCTTGGTGTTGCCTGAAATTCCATTGCAATCCTGTGGAATTAAACATCATCTTAAGCAGTTGTGCTCTAAGAAGCTTCAAAAACTCGAGCCGTTTTCTAATAAAAAAGTTTAACCCGTCGAACGAATAAATAAATTGAATATCGTATTACAATATTTTGGATAATATACTAATTATGATTGATAAAATCAGAATTAGTTTTAACGTTACGATAATTAAAATCAACACAAACGATAAAATTTTAAATACAGAAGATAGTCAGCTAATGAGATTAGCTAACTATCTTCTGTTTTGTTTATTCAACATTGTGGCGTTATCTAAGATTTGCTAATAAAACGCCATTTATACTAATATTATAAAGAGGAAAGATTTGTTTGTTTGTTTGCATCGAATAGGCTTCGAAACTGTGGGACGTGTACAATGTCGCGGGAAAACAGCTAATATATTATATTTATTTACGATTACTGTGGACGAACGATTCTAACGGTTGTAAGGTGTTGCCGTCTCTTAGACCTCGGATTTTTCGAAAAGTAATTTGAATGCAGATTTCTTTTTTTTTATTACTATCTCGAGTCTGGTCTATATTCATTTTTTCTGAAGTCGTTCAATATTTATTTAATAATTAATGCACTAATTGTACATTTGTGCATTATGCCTTGGAGTTTATACGATTATACCTACGCATTTTGTATTTATTCGTGATTATATTGATTGAATATCTAACTGAACATATATTGATAATACTCACACAGCACCATGGAGGCGTTTCCATATCCCAGAGCCGTTTCCAGAAACTCCAGTACCAGTAGCATCCAATAGTTCACGGAAAAGGACTTCACCAAACCGACTATACCCACCACTAGTGGTGTTGCCACTATTATTATTTTGCGGCCGTATCTAGAATAAGAACAGTTGTCTAGTATATAAGAACAGAAATATAATAAAATAATAACAAGTAAGAGCATTTTAAAATTCAACTATGCGTGTGGAAAAAGTTCTTAAAAATTAGACATTTACTTTATGCAACTGTATTTACTTTATGGGATCTGAAATCTTCTCTGTTCTGGTTCGTTTTAGCAATGAGTCGTCAAAAGATAATGTTTTTGGTATTATAGTTTGCATGCTTTTCGATTTAAAGAATGTCATTTGTTTTTCTATACCATTATTTCACTTTGAATGTACTTATAACCATGGGCGGGATTCTATAAATAGGTTTATTCTCTAAAAGATTTTAAAATAATACGATAGACTATACATATATCTGCCTATAGGCGTCGTTGTCAGGGTTTCTACCTGATACTTTAGAAGTAAAAACATTTTTTAAACTGGGTCATTTAAGTGCAGAATAGGATATAAATATATGTATAATATACATCGAATTTAGTTTCTAAATAAAGTTTATAACAGCGATTCATAATTAACAAATTTAATGCTGGATAATAATTAATTTCAATGTGTAATGAAATAAAGTGTAAGAGATATTTAAGTGAATTATCTACTTCGGGAACTTAATAAAAAACAAGGTACATAATCGCAATCCCGTAGAAAACTATCATTATAATGTAAATGATCATCGAGTAGCTCGGTGGCGTAGTGGATAAGCGCCGCGGCCCGCGATCGTAGTCGTTAAGCAACTTTCGCAAGGGTCGGTCACGGGATGGGTGACCAAAAAAAATTATTATCTCGAGCTACTCCGTGCTTCGGAAGGCACGTTAAGCCATTGGTCCCGGCTGCATTTGCAGTCGTTAATACCCTCCAATTCGCATTGGGCCAGCGTGGAGGGTCATGGCCCATTCTCCTTAACCATCCATAAGGAAGGCCTGAGCCCCTGCAGTGGGGACGTAAAAGGGCTGATGATGATGAAGTGATCATAAAGGTGAAAAAGAACATTATTTTATTGTAGTTTTAAGCAAAGTCAGTTATATGCCAAATACTATCTCTGATATTTTTCACAAATGATGCGTACTCGTTAAAGGTTTAAAGGCTAGTCATTCGTAATAGCTGCTTTGCACTTTTATGACGGTTTTGTAGCAGTACTATATAATATTTTTCACGTTCGAGTTTCGACAAAGCATTGAATACACGCGACCGACACACAAATCTATGGCGTTATAAAGTTACGCATACTTGTCGTACCGCAGAGATAAAAAAAGATCCGTTCTTTGCAGTACGATAACATTCTTAGTTGTGAAGATTTTTCAAAATTTAATAACATTTAAAGCAAATGACAAGGAACTTATAATATATATCCCCATGGGGCACAAAAGAAATAATAACGGACCACCTCACAGCTCGATACTCAAACACGGCAAATGAAGAATTAAACGCAAATAAATATATAACAGTTTCGTTTACCTGTCTGATATAAATCCAGAGAGGAGGAATGAGAACACCAACCCGAGGTTGTGAACGGTACCGATCAATGTCCGCTTCCATGGTTGACAGCCCAGGTCAAACTGAAAAAAGAATAACAAAAATGTGCTATGTCACTACAATACGATGTTATAAGTATGTTCAAAATATTTTTTGTGTATTAATTGGTATCGACCTAAAGTCTAGTTCAGTTATTATAAAAAACGCCACTGACTTAGAATTTTATATGCCATATTTTTTGTGATATCTGTAATATTCTGTGAGATTCAAATCTCTGAACTGACTGCATCCTTTCCTACCAGGGGCTAATATTAGGAATCCAGAATTAATTTTCAACTACAAATATAGTTTTCTAGCCTTTATCTAGATTTTGTATACGACCACTTTTGGATCACATTTTCAGAGTTCTTGGTGGATAAACAAGTAGTACCACAGTATCAGTTACGTCAAAGGCATACATTTTATGCCAGAATTTGTGATTCATTATTCAAACCGCGTTAACCTTATTGAATCACAATGATTCAACAAGCACATAAAATAGCACTAGGTTTTGAGAACGCCCGTTATATCCTTTCTTTGCGAAAGTGAAGAGTAAAAGTTTGCTTATTGTAAATTATAAGTATGTTCTACACGACAATTGCATTTCATTAAAATTCATTAATGCTTAAACCAAAGCAGAACAGTTTAACTGGCGTGACAAAGGTGTTTAGCACAACAACTAGGACAGATTGCAGTACCTCATTATATTTTAACATACGCTATTTTACAGTTGGTACGACATTAAACGTTGTTAGTTTATTGACGTGCACCACATCCGCTGTTATACTACAGTATAAGCCAGCAAGGAAACATCGCTAGTGATTAAAATTTGGAAAAATTATATTCAAAAAGTGAAATTGTTATTTGTTTCAAAAATTTTAAAGGTTTATTGATGTTATTGTAACGACATTTTGTCTTGTACATCTTGGTGTACTAATTTTAATGTTGTGTGAAGTTATATATATACTTTTATAGGTTAATAAAGAGAAAACCATTGTCTAAAAACACCAAAGCGATACCTTTCGCCTAAATTAACATTTCATGAAGCTTTATCAACCAAAACCTTTTCTAAAAGAGTACTGTGATATAAACAATTAATTAGTCCTAATTACTCCCTTGAAATTTCTAACAATTTCTTGTGCTTTTATTGAAAGGATACTTACTATTATTAATTGTGTTAAATCATGTATTTGAAGAACGAAAATAAAATATTAGCAAAGAAAGTTCTCCATATGATAGAAAAACATCTAAAGTAAGTATATAAATACTAGATGGATATATAAATACTAGATGGATATATAAATACTAGATGTGGTATTATGATATACTGGATATAGATATTAACTGTGTTACTTGTCCAACCTCTATGGTTAGCCGATACCTTGAACCATTGGCCATGACAATGACCATTGCCTACTATTGTTTAGTCACGTTTAGTTTCTCGTGCTCTAGTATACTACGAGTTCGATCCCTCAGTTCCAACACCTGTGGGAATTTTTTTTTTTTTCCTATCTGCATCGTTGATTTTATCTATTACACCGCGTCGTGGCAGTGCGGGTGAACCTATCAAATACGTAAGCATATTATAGTACGAACGATTTCCACAAGACCGTTCTGATTGGAGCCATCTAACAGTATAAAGAATAGCATCTTTATAGTAAAATCTTAATAGTAAATTGCTAAGGTATTTTGTTAATATTATGAATGATAAAAGATTTTACTTAACCATTTAAACAAAAGGTAAATTAAGTTGTTGGTCACGACAGCACATGCGTCTATTGTCGATTTCTTCTTATGCAATTCTACTTTTGGGATATAGAATATTAGGAGACTGATAATAATGATGATTAGTAACAGAATAATGTTGGATGAAATATTTCGTGTAGACAAATTAAACGATCCCTATATCGATAGGGTTGCGTTATTTAATTACAAACTTCCCATGGCCACCTTCCAGTTACATCATATTATCTCGGTTCAAAGTCCTACTCAAAACAAATTAAACGAGCCTAAATTAAATAGAATTCTTTCGTCTCAATGTAAAGGTTTCACGGTTACCTTCCAGCTCATATTAATATAGCATTTTCATTAATGTGTATTCAAAATTTCTGTTTAATGGAAACCGGAAAGTGGGTCATATTGAGCTAGTAAAATTTGACCCACTTTAAGTAGATAATAAGCAGTGGTCGGAATTAGGTAGAGTTATTCATGTACTTACACTGATTTCATACAACGAAAGAATAAAGTGGATATGCCTCAAATCCCGAGATTAATTTTAAAGAGCAGAAAAAATCACGTGATTTTTTAAATAAAAAGTTATTTACTTTTACACAATTTAAACTACTGCACACACGACGTTGCCAAACTTACATCAATGACATCGGATGTCCAAAGATGTCCAAGATTGTCCATTAGAAATCCCGGGAAGGTCCACAATAATATCAACATTTCGATGCAAGTACATAAGTAACTCTACCTAATTCCGACCTCTGATAATAAGTTACATAAAAGCTTGTAAAAACACATTATAGCTATTTATCGTAGTCACCTCAGCCACAATACTGTTGTAGTCTTGATATATGATGCGGTCGCACGGCACTGTCTCTCCCGCGATGAAACCCTCAGGGGCACACTCATCATCAGAGTTGGAGAGATTGCTGTCGTTGATTCTTGGAGCTACTCTGTGGCAAATGTCACTGTGGTTTGCAAGAGCGAATTGCGCGAAGGAAACGTTGAATCGTACATCTGATGATTCACATTCGGGGACGTAGCACCTGACAATGAAAAAGATTAAAATAGTTAAAAATTAAATTCAAACTTCTCAATAAATAGAAGCTAACACAAAAATAGAATAACACACATATAGAAGAACATTGTTTAAAGACCTAAAGGATTATAATTTAGTTATTAAATACTAACATATACATTGTTTTGTTTATTTTACTAGAAATGGTGAAATAGACAGTTCCGATCTGTGAAAATACTTTTTACATTGTTGTAAAACATTTTCACATAGTGCTACGTTAAACCATATAAAAGGTATAGTTTACAATAAAAGGGGAATAAAATAATTTATAAATTACAAAGCTAGGTAATCAAGTCTCAGCTCGTACGTGGACGCTCGATAATAAATGAAAAATTCCCGTTCCGAATCTGAAATTCGAGTGGTTGACGTGAGCGTTCTTGGTCTTATATGATGTACACCAATGATATTAATGTTTTAACACTATTAAAGTTATTTATGATGAGTATCTAAATTATCTTGTGACCTTTATTTCTTTTATATTTGTATGATATGTTATTTTAATTTTACGTGATAAGCGATTGGCACGAGACATCGATCAATAAATTATTGTACAGCAAGCACTGAACAATACGATGTGTACTCGTGTGAATATTAAAATTCTATATTTATTTACTTTAATAAACTATTTTTACGATGTTTCTTTCATTCATTTTAAATAGTATTCAAATAAACTTTACTTTAAACTACTACATTATTCTTGCAAACGTAGAAGATTTATGGAAATAAATTCAATTACTTCTTTATAAACCTTCTATTTGTACCCATTAATGCCCGCCGTACTATAAGAAGTACAGTAATTTAAGTTGAGATTAAAGTTATTAAATTACTTTTTTTCATTTTACTAACCCCTTCAACCTTTCAATCGAAAGTTTCGCAGTAAGTATATAGCAAAATCATGATTCAATCACTAAATAATCTGACAGTAGTGAGCATTTTGTGCCAGTGATTTTTTGATATATGTCGGTGAGTATTTATTTCTCATTTTATAAAAAAATGACCATTGAAATTTATTAAAAAGATTTAGTTTTAACTCAATAATATACTATTTGTTTGTAAAACACGTAGAAAAACAAAATTTTTTAAAAAGTGTTACAAGCTATAACATGTTAAGTGCTGCTGTACTAAGTTTAGTACAATGGGCACTTGACATGTAACGTGAGACAGTACAGTGCAACATTTTATAATCGTGTTTTCAAGTTTTTTTGTCGTTATATTACTAATAATATCTCAATAACGAACCTTTAAGTGGCATCGTTATCAGACGATAAGAGGAAACTAGGTATCTAGAAATTATAAAATGGCTATTCGACGTACTTTTACGAAAAAAAAAGTAGTTTTACTATGAATAACACCATCAGTTGAGATAGTAATGATAATGATAGTAATGATTATGCTGCTACCCAATCCAGATGTTGTTACAGATGAAAAATGTGACTGGTGATATGCATAGATGTTGTAATTCACAGTACATCTACTTTTCAGAATGTAATGGTGTGAGTGGTCATCATAATCAGTTTTCCAGTTTTCTTATTTACAGCATTCTGAGATGTAGATGTAATCTTACAATGTGGCCAAAACAAGACGAAGTGGAACTAAAGCTGAGGAGGATTTTTGCCAAAATGTATGACTATTTACTAAGTTTCTTGGTTAACGCAGATCTAATATCTGTTACAGAAACATAAGTCTCAGATATAATAAAACGTTTGACACTTGCAAAGTTTTAGAACTTTTCGATGATGTAGTGCTAGAACTTATTGCGACTCAAAAAAATACTGTATACGATGTACAAAACTGCTGTCATGATAAGGTTTATACAAAAATAATATTTGAAAATTCCAAGTCCATCGTTATATTACTGGATATCATAAATTATCTAGATAAAGGTCATATTGAAATTTCGATAATAATATTGGTGTGCCACTGGTTTCAGAATGCATCTTCCAGAATCAGAATTTTGAAAACAAATAGTGGTCTGCGTTTTACATTTAACACATTGGCTAGTTCCCCTACGGATAAGACGTACAAGAAGTGTTCCACTTTATTGAGATCTTACAAAAAGTTGTGTCGAATTGTTATATGATATGAAAATTTCTAGTTCATGGGATATTACATTGTAATGTCAATCCTGAATATTATACAGATCAGCTGGTATTGCGAGACATAAAACACGCACATATTTGAGTAACATAAGGCAATACAACCATCCATCATTCAAGAACAAGTTAAGAAAAACAATGTTCATTATTCTCAAAAAAATACTAATATACCAATGACTGTGTCCTATGTTTCAAGAGAATCAAAAGAGCGTTGGAAAAGTGACAAATAACGTCGTGTTTCGATAGAATAACTTTTTTCGGTATCCCCATAAGCGCCCATTGTACTAAACTTAGTACACCTCTAAAAGTACATCTTATAATTATTTTTTTATAATTTTTTCTTTGTAATATCAAATAATAGGTGATTTGAAAACAATATTAAGAACTGGTTCCCTAAAATTTTTGTAAGATTTTATTTGGGCGTTAATGGGTTAAAAAATATATTATACTTATTATGTTTGATCATAAACAAAAATACTATTATAAAGTGGAAAGATCGGATTCTTAGTTTGTTTGCATCGAATAGGTTCCGAAAATACTCACCGTCAGTTAGCTACATCATACGTTATTGATATAGATTATAATATAAGCGTGCGAAGTCGCGGGAAAACAGGTAGTGATAATTATAAAAAGCGCTTCCAATCCACCAGTCCCAGATATCCCGAGGTGGGACTCGAACCCACAATCTTCAGCAATCCCCGCCCAGCAGAGCGGTCGCCAGAATTTCGAACGGCAGTAAACACCAATGGATGGAGAAAAGAGAAAGGATATATATGTTGTATTGTTAGAGATGGCATAAACATTTAATAGCCCGGCAGCCTGCTTGTTTATTTATATATTTTTTTTAATGTGCAAGCCTAATGTGAAATTAACCGTAACACTTCATTAAAAGATAGAAGTCAGTAACCGTCTTTGTCGTCTCATGTATACTTTAGGCTATTAACACCTCCTTGGAGGACCATAACAACTAAGTAGCTGCTGATTCAAAGTCAGCCCGCTCCCTAAGATTATGGGGGAAATGCATGATTTTTTTATCGCAACAATGTGTGATAAGATATTTCAATAATTTTCCGAGATTTGAAAATTGAAATCGTTGTCTAATTTACCGTAACTTGATATATTATTTTATGTAAATAAGCGAATCGTGAAAGTGGAAATGCAAAAATAATCTGGCAGGAATTTATTTATGTAAGAAATATTTTGTTACCTGTAGTCAACTTCAGCAGCTGTAAATACGTAGTTGTAGTTGCACATCGCGAGGAATGAATCCCGGAAGGCGAGCAGAAATAGCAGTAGAAGCTGGTACTTGCCGAAACTGCCCAGTTCACTGAGCAGACCCTCCAAGTTGAACTGATTATCCATTTGTTCAGGCATCTGCAGAATAAAACTCAATGAGGCTCATCATCTTAGCCTTAGCTTCACTTAAATAAAACCTTTGATACTTTTCAAGTGGTATTTGTTTAAACCTCTACGCTATGACAGCACGGCGCTCTACGTCTAGTTCTAAGCTTCTATAATATAGTAGCACTACAGATTGTGGATGTTAAAGATATTAGATGCAGCCAGAGCAAACAGTTTAATAATAATGACCAAAAATATATAATTTTAATTTGATAAACTTTTGTTTATCTAGGACCTTAATAAATATTTGCAAAAGTTGTATTAAAATTCGTAATCACAGACCCAACGCTAGTAATATGAGCAAGGTCTAAGAATATAAAATTTTTAGGAATGAATCCATCCCAGACACTATTCAATATAGAAATATTGATTTTTGATTTTTATTCGAACGGAAATTGCACTTCGCTCTCATCATCAAAAAAGAAATATGACAAATACAAATGTTTTATCCTATTATAATCCTATTAATATTATAAAGGCGAAAGTTTGTAAGTATGGATGTATGGATGTTTGTTACTCTTTCACGAAAAAACTACTGGACGGATTTGGATAAAACTTTACAGCAATATAGGTTATACATCAGAATAACACATAGGGTACTTTTTACTGGGAAAACTTCTCACTCCCACGGGATACCGACTTCCACGCGGACGAAGTCGCGGGCGTCCACTAGTAATTTCATACATACATTGTTACTTACTAGATGCAGAGGAGCTCGATCGCGTAATGATTAGAACACTCTGTCTGCGAGACCATTGTTAAGCAACTTTCGCTAATGTCGGTCAAACGACGGGTGACCAAAAATTTATAATCTCGAACCTCTTCGTGCGAAACACGATAATTCGTTCCATTCGCCTTGTTCGATTCAATTTTATCCATAGGGAATGCCTAAGCCCCAGCAGTGGATATTAATATGCTGGTGATATGATTGCTTCCGTTAATTTGGTCTATTAAAAGACTAAAATACAGATAAAGATAGTAACTCACCTTAGTTTTTAAAGGTTCCTTAGACACCATGATGTTAATCTCTAGAACGATTTAAATGAAGCCGTTGTTTTGGTGATCATAGTTTCTGCAATGAAATTAAACATTAAACTTAACTAATATAGTTCGATTAAACCAAAGATTATTTTGACAGTTTTAATTAAAATATGTATGTGTTTGAAACATTATTTCTTGAGCAACATTTACACTCGTATCTATAGTCGAGAGAAGTAATTATTCGAGAAAATGGCATAAGTTAAATAAACATTTTTTACCTTTATACAAGAATTTGAATGAAATAACAATTGTAAACTAATAATAGTATTTTTACTATTAAAAGTTTTACTTCATTCTAATTCTTGTTTATTTGTTATGAATAATTGCTTAAGTAATTACTATTACTCGACTATACATACCGGTGTTAGGAGCCGAATTATAATAGACATGTAGAAGAATAGAAATATATAATGTATCTATGGCGCTCTACTTCTAGCATTCTATACAGTTATGTTTTCTTTGACAACTTATTTAACGTTGTCGTCTACGGTTGTGTGTCCATGGATGCGTTTTTTAATCGTATGGGAACCTTAAAGTGGGAGGTCGTTTCCGTTAATTTGGTCTATCCTCCTAGGCTTTAAAAGAACACATCATCCAATAACAATACAACCAATGTTTGGGAATTTCATGTCGTTGAGTGTCGGTTAATTTAATATTGATTATGCGCCTGCGCACGTGACTACAACGTTATCGACAACGCATGTAATAGAAGTAATAACTATAAAACGTAATGAAATGGAATTGTGTATGCGATGGAGAAGTATTATGGACAAATATAAGCATTTAGTTTATGTTCTAAGTTTAATTATGCACCGGAACTTTATCTCGAAGTCATCCAAAGGTTCTGGCAAAGAATAAATAAAATATATAATATGTGTAGAAATCTATTGTTTTAATTATAATTGGCAAATATTGTATTTATAACATTTGCAACTCAAATTATTGAAGTACCCAATATACATCAGAGCCAACTGGTCAGACGTCCATTTTTTATACTCTGTAGGAGAAGAAATTCAAACATTTTTAACGTTCATTAGTAACTTACATTACTAAATTTAGGAATAATCTTTAAGTGAATCTAATAACTATTTAATTGTGATTGTTTCTTGCTAATTCTTCCTTTTTTCAAAAACAAAAATGCAATTGAATCTTTCTGAAAATGGAGTAACATCGGACCTAAATAATTTTCTTATAACATTGTCGGATAATGACAACCCTTGTGCTGGTTCCAACAAAAAAATATAATGTTAATAAATCATTCTTAAGCCTTATATTTGGATCCGACCAAATGGTTCGAAAATAAACATAAATCCAGTAAGTAGAATACGGAAATGAGATATTTGGCTCCAGGGATAACCTGGAGCAAAATATCTCATTTCCGAGTCCTGCTCATACAAATACACATCCGATTTTTCAAAGATCCTTTTTTTAATATAATAAACATTTAAAAGAAACGCAAGAAGGAACCAGTGTATTAAATCAATAACAAATACAATTTCTCAAATAGTTAGGCGTGTCAAAATAAATGTAATTGCACAGATATCTCTAAAATGGTTTTTAGGAAACTCGCAATTTCAAAGGTTAGGTTTGTAGATAATATTACTATCAGGTTTAATCGATACAAATATTCAAATTTTAGTTCTACGCAATGATAACTCTGAAACATTGGACTTAGATGTTCTCTACATAACATACTCATTATCAAAATTTACCTTAAGATTAGATTTAATTTGTAGAACGAAGTATATACATTTTTTTTTTATTCCAGTTGGATGTTTTATTGACGCTGACAATTGCCAATTGCCAATATTTAAATAATAACCTATTGCTTTAGATTCATGAACTAACAAGTAATTAAAAAAATAATAATAACTTGCGATACTGTCACTTTGATCTTTGTCCATTAGTAGATATATTTTTTGTTAAGTTTAAGTATTTTATAGTTAGTGTTTACAATTAAAAAGGTGGTAAATACTTCAGGTTTATCATAAAAATATATATTGCGGATTACTTGATATTTTAAAGTCCAATAAAAACATTTTTATAAATTTCAATTGGATAAACCGACAACATGCGATAGAGCCGATAACAGTTATCCAAATAAATAAATAAAAACCTGCATCTCTTGTAATTCATCGATTCTGCATTACTTGATATAACTTACATAAGCAGATATATTTAACCAATGGGTAGATAATAATAATAGTATTCTAACTTTTGGCAGTTCATAGCACGGCTTCGGCATTGATTAACGTGACTGAGGAATCTGGAGGGTATCTAGAAGCAACAAGTGATTATATTGGTTCTCCTGGACTTCAGTAAAGCATTCAATACTGTCGATAGTGATAATACTGTTGGCTATGCTGAGAACTATATTCGATTCGGATACAATATTGAAGATAACATTGTGTCCGTGTTGACGACAAGATGTCCCGTTTTTCTGATGTGAAGGTTGGTTTGCCCTAGGGTAGAGTCCTCTCCCCTCTACTATTTTCTATTTTTATTAACCACCTCCCCCACCCCATCTCGCGTGTCAATATCATTAATATGTAGACGATGTGCTAATTTTTCTCAGGGTTTGGTCGATGATATCAATGAGCTGGTCGCTGAGCTTAATCTTCATCTTGTGATTGTCCAAAAATGGAGTCAAGCTTACAGCTTTACCGTTAAACCAAACAAATAGCAAGCTATCGTCATCGATGGCGCGAGGCAGATTGCAAAGCTCAATCATATTCCGCCTCTTACCTTGAGTGGAGTCACTCTAACCCCTAGTAGTGTAGTAAAAAACGTGGGCGTTTTCTTTGATTCCTCCCTCTCCTGGTCTCCGCACATTGCTGAGGTCAGCCGAAAAGTGTTTGCTGCCACAGGGGCACTAAGATGGAAAAATATGCTCCTTGTAAACCAAAATTGAGTTGGCGCAATATTTACTTATGTCAATTTTTGACTATGCTTATATCTGTCTCATTGATATGAGTGAGGGCACGCTCAACAAACTTCAGCGTCTACAAAATCTTTGCATTAGATTTATATACGGTTTGCGAAAATTTGACCACATATTTGAATTTAGACGTAGGCTTAAGTGGCTCCATATAAGACAGCGTGTGAAGAGCATGTTTTCACTTTCCTGTATAAAATCCTTTATGATCCTCGTAGTCCTTCTTACCTTAGGGAACGTTTCCAATTTCTAGGCGCAAAACTTGGTTGCGAGCTGCAGTCTGATATTACGATTAGTCCTTAACCATTAAAACTGCTGGGCTCTGGAATAATCTGCCGTCTGCTATTCGATATACAAAATCTGTTGCCGTTTTCAAATCTGAATTGCATAAGCATCTTTACGTACTTATAAGATATATTATTAAATCTGTATTCCATACATTTCTGCATTTTACCTTATATTATATTATTTTTGTTTTTCATCTTTACTAATGGCACACTACCTCCGATCTTTTTCTCCAAATGTTACACGAATCAAAGGTTGTCTGGAAAAATCCGCTTTTAGCGATAAAACATCCTTTGCCCACCCTAATATTAGTACCAATATTGTTAACTTCATTTCAATAATTATGAGTGAGGAATAAAGTGTTAATTATTATTGAAATCCTTATTTATTTGCATAAAATGTTACTAAATCTGTATTCAATTTTATTAATAAACTAGCCTTCGCTTGGTTGCCCCGGGCTGCGAGCAGCCCGGGGAGGTAACGAGTAGCTAGTGGAATCGGGGCGGTGGGGTTTCAGGTCCGCCTCTTGTTTATCGGGTTTACAGTTTGAAATTGCCTCAGGTCAAAAAGGTCAGTAAGTTCCATCTTCAAATAAAAGGTGTTAAAGGACACAAAGCACCATACATCAAAGAAAAAGTGTTGCCAGTTGACACTTAATAGAAAAAGAAATATTCAGTCGAAAAACGCAAGCAAAACTTAAAAATAATTTTGTATAGATACTTAAAATAAGTTTTGTGTTTTATTCTTTTATTCTTATTTATTAGTAATTACTGTATAATATTAAAAAGCATATATTTCCATCAGGGTTACTATCATTAATTAATTAAATGTCAAGAAATAGTATTTATTGTATTTGCATTATTACATTACATTATTTATGTAAGATTTATTTATTATATGAAAAGGGAACCGATGCCGTGGCCAGATATTAGAATAGATCAATTCACGACGCGATGGGGTTTTAAGTCCGCCTTCGTTTCAGAATAGAAGCTTTCGCTTGGTTGCCCCGGGCTGCGAGCAGTCCGGGGAGGTCACGAGTAGCTAGTGGTATCGGGGCAATGGGATTTTAGGTCCGCTTCCGTTGCAGAATTTGAGTTTTTCGATTTTTTTGTTATGTTTGTTTTATAGTTTGAAATCGCCTACAAAAAGTTAGTAAATTCTGTCTTCAAATGAAAGGTGATTAAGCACCATACATCAAAGAAAAAGGGTTGCCAGTTTACGCTGAACAGAAAAAGAATAATCAGTCGAAAAACGCAAGCAAAACTCTAAATAAATTATAGTCTCTTATTCTTATTCAATAGTAAGTTTATATTTAATATGAAAAAGGATCGAGTAGATATTTCCCCCAGTGTTACCTTAAATAATACACCAAATAAATAAATATCAAATTTCAAACTCATACCTACGTAGAACACTTTCATTTTGAATATCAAAAGAACATGTTTTCTCAATAATCTAAAAGTATAGAAAAATATATTTTAAGTATTAAATATCGTGTCAAAAATTGGATTTTCTTTTCTCAATACTTACCTATATGAAAGTGTGGGTAAAGATACACAAATATACACATGGTCCATATATACACGCTATAAAGATTCCGAATTATCAAGTCCATCGAAATCAAAATTGAAACTAAATGGTCACGATCATCTTTTAAACCTTATAAACCAAATGTTACCATCAACAAAAGCGATTCGTTTCTGGCACTTCGCCGGCCGCTGCCGCGGCACGCTCGCTACGCTCGCTCGGCTCGTGCGTTGTTTTTCATACACTAACCTAACCTAACCCATATGTCATAATAAACCTATACA